CTTTATTAGAATTTGATCAGTAGTAGCAGTTTCCATAGTTTGGCTCTTTATTATTAGTGTCAGTTCCCCTGCATATGACAGACTTTTTGACCTCAGACAACAGATTAGAGATAAATAGACTGAAGTTCATGTTACGTATTATTTCATGTGATTTCTCCGTGAGAAAAGCCGGATCAATGTTGCATGACCCTTGACTTTAAAACATATAGAATGATTATTATATAATATGTGAAAGAAAAATCATTTAGACTTGATCTTGATATTAGCATTTACCTTAGTCAAAGATAGATTTTTAAATGAAAATGCAAATCAAGTGGTGATCTGGTCCTGCCATAAATATATAAATTATACAGGGAGAGTGCTCTGTGTAAAAATATCCATCCAGTGGATGTTTGATTTTTAATGTTGCTGATTTCACGTGATTATAAGATATCATCTTTCTAACAAAAAGTAAGATTTTGCTTTCAATCTATGACCAGCTGCTAATGCCAATCAGGTCTGTCACGTGTATACATGAAGTTAGGTCTTTATCTCTTTGTGGTCTAGCTTTAATTTTTCAAAGGACACAGTTTCACCTTTAAGATAACCAGATTGTAGACTGTAGCTTACAGATCGAGGCTGATCGACGGAAAAATAACGCATAGAAGAGAACTAGCATGGCAATTCCAGCTCTAATTTAGTTTAGAAAGCATTTAGCTCATGAATTTGATGCTGGTTAACGTTCGGTGCAAGAAAGCTGTCACTCTGTTATCCGGCGAAAGGAAATTAATTCAGCGACAAAATTTAAAGATTTTCCTACGAAAGTCGATTTTTTTTTACATAAACGCAGGTGTAATTAAGCTTACGTTTACCTTTAATATACCAAATCTAGTTCGTGTTAGTAGTATTGTTTTCCCTTGTCGATCCGGAAATCAAAAGTTTGTACACAACGTACGATTTCGCCGGTTACCAAATCAACTGTGTGCTGCACAGATTTCAGTTAATATTCCAAAACGAGACGCAGCATGTTGATGGGAGAATGGAATATATAATGCCTTCATTAACAAAAGCTTATGAAGCAATGTTTAGAACGATCACCTTGAATAACCTTCGTGATAATTGCGTAACACGACATTCGGTCGGTCGCCCACACACCTGAATCTCTGGCCTAAAACTATTTTCAAATCGGAAGAATTCGAGATCTACTTATTTTAAATAAGCTTTCCTTCGTCTGTGATTGTACGCCGCTTAGAGAGCTTTAAAGCACACGAACTGAACATCCACAGTGCCACATGGCCTAATTAGATCAGTTTCGTCTGGAACCGACATTGTTTGTACATGGAATGTACAGCATGATGTGCAACTTTGCACCCAGAAGTCCGTGAAATACCTAGGTAGCGCCATAGTTCTAATTAATGAAGTTCCAACTCACCACTTGGAAAACTGAAGAATGTTTTGACTGAACGGTTCCACAGCCTGTTCCTCCGACTCTGACCACGGTTTCGAAGTGAAACTCAATTAAAAGGAAAGAACAGATGAATAGAGGTCAAAGACAAACCATTATTGCCGGTCTCTGATTGGTGGTTCGTTAGTGGTTCGACGGGCAGAACGGGGGCTCGCCCGGGATCTTGTCAGCGGCCTTCGTTTGCACGCTTTGCACGGTAAGAAATATTAAACTGAAAATAACAAGGATGGCTCCTATGGTTACCAGAAACTGAACAAAAACTCATCTCCTATTCATTCTTTTAATTAAACTTTTCACCTCTTCTGTCATAAAGCATGAATAATCACAATGTTTTTCTCTATTAAATCTCAGGGTTATCTACCTTACCTTGCTGCAAATACATCTTAATAGGGAGCTTAAGCAACGATGACAATGACGCTGAGGACGACGCCTAGTAAAAAAATGAATTTATATTTTACAAGCAAAATTCGCAATTGTCTAGATCTGTTTGGTACCCTAATGGCTCTAAAAATGTGCTTAAGCTAAATATGCAACGACGGCGTTCAGTTGCAAATGGAAATACGAAAAATTAGTCGTCCTCATCCACGATCCGTAGACGACACAGAACTTGGTCATTTCTTGTTGTTGTTTTGCAGAGGATGCCAAAGAAATGTACAAAGATTTATACGCACGTGCACAGCTATTGTTTTGCTCAGTAAATCTTTTGTTTAGTGATGTTCTCATTGCCGTCTTCATCATGGTCTGCTTAAGCTTCCTAATGACATTTTAATAGAACTCTTATTGATGATATCAGAAAGATGCATGTTGAGAGGAAAATACATTTATAATAAGAAAATTGAAAGTCAAGGAAAGGCAAATAAAAATGTGTTCTTAGTTCCTTGTAAACACTGGGATTTGGGGGCATCCCTCTTCCCCTAGGAATTTTCTATTTTTAGAGGGTTGAAAATATAATTTCCCATGCTTTCCAGAGAACAGATCATAAATCAAAACATGGGAAAACTTTCACTAGTATTTAGTCACTTATGTTGTGTATATGTCAACCTTCAGGATAATTATTAGGCCAGTTGTGAGTAACCTAACGTGTCAGTGTTTCAAAATGAGTCCTCATGCAAAACCTTTCATGTAAAAAATGAGGTTGATTTGCATGAAAATGAATCTTATTGTAGAGGGAACACATTTTCATATCACAAGTGAGATCTTCAGACTACAGAAACCACAGACAATTACAGAAACCACAGACAACAGAGGGATTCTGTCGGTCGCGGAATTATATAAATTTAGTGTTTGGTTTTCACTTTATCCCAAGATTTACCCTCCCTCATTATATCTTAATTACTGAAAGTCTAAATAATTGCTTTTCTTTCATATCAAGAGTCACATCAAGTCCTTAGTTTGATGGAAAAAAAAAGAATTGACAAGCAAGCTGGCACAGATGGTTACTCAAGTGAAGCAACAGTTAATTCAATACGTCTAGAAAAAGGGATGATTAAAAATTCAAAATTTTGGTTGCTTTGCTAACCTTGCTAGATATTTTAATATCATCCTTGGTTAAAATAGCAACTCGATATAATTATCTTAGAAAACAGTTGTACAATGAAAGCACTGATATGGATCATTTGCACTTGAGTGATTCAACTGCCACCCCTGCCAATCATTCAGTCCCGTTGGCCCTGCACATTGCATTCATTTGATGGTTTGTGAAAATAGTTTTTTTTTTTCATTAAAAATATCCCAAACCCTCTTCATTAGTGTTTAATTAGGATGTGAGCAGTTATCTAAATTCTTGTATAACAAAAACAATTAAAGGATTTATTTTGAAACAAAACAGATTTGTTCCATGACCAGTAGAAACTCATCTGTTTTGTGGGTCTTCTGTAGTTGAAGATCTTGCTTGTGACTGGTTATTTATGCAATAAACATTCCAAACGTATTCATATTCAGTGTTCAGATTTTTTTTTCAAGTTTGACTGTGAATACTGGTATTTAGCAGACAATTTTCCCCAATTTAAATGAAGGAAATACTTTTTCCTGGGTTTTCAGAGGTTAATGCATGTGTGTAGGTGCTTGTGGTCATTATATGCCCCAGCTGCTACTCAGCATCTGTCCTTTTTGCACCATGCAATACAATGAAGACCTCTGTCATTGTTACCACTGCTAGTCACTTACAATACTCGTGATGCTACATGTAGTAAGAGAAACTGGAAGACTAGCTTTGCCAGATGCAGAATATTTTTGTCATGTGTTCTATAAGAGCTGGCATCCACAGTCAAGTGTTGATTGTTACCCTTGATCGACACTCAATCAATACTCAATTGACACTCCCTCAACACTCAGTCAACATCTCGGTCGACAGTCAGTTGAGAATTCACTAATTTTCGCAGGCACGACATTGAGTGTGGATCAATATAAATGAATTGGTCAACACCTGGCCAGCTATCAACTGACTGTCAGTGAAGTGTTGATCAGGTGTTGATAGAGATGTTGACCGAGTGTCAGCCAAGTATCGATTAAGATGTCCATTGAGTGTTGGTTGATCAACAGTTTTTGTTGTTGTTTTGTTTTGTTTTCCTTTTCAATTCACATTTTCAGCTTTGAAGTAGGTGACTTTAATCTTGGGGTGGATGGCTTTAATTAAGTGTCGGCATAATAATGTCAGTGCTAATCTTAAAGTTGATCCCTCACATAAAGTGACTCAAGGAAGGGATGCCAGTCCATGATAGCTTGCCTCTACACCTTTATAAACGTGGTTGGAGAGAGGTAATGTGAAAGTAAAGTGTCTTGCACAAGAGCACAATGTAGTAACCCCATCCAGCTCTTGCGGCCAGACCACTCAATTCAGAGTCCTGCCTAAACCACTAGGCAACCAACCCTATACTTAGTTTAATGTCTGTCTTTTCCATCTTTAGATCCAAGAACTTCAAATTGGTTATTTGTTCCATCCATCTGGTCTCCTGTAACTGCAGTAATAACTTATTTGTTGTTAGTATGGCTGGTTCCAAGAGTCATGAGATCCAGAGAAGCTTTCAAACTTACCACCCTACTAGTAATTTACAATGCTGCTTTGACATTACTGAATTTATACATCTGTGTTGAGGTAAGTTGTAAATCGAAATCTTATATTTCCATCTTTAAAGCAGAAATGTTTGCAGCAAACCTTGTACAGTGTACGTGTACATGTAATCCAGCAAATATGAACAAAATGCTCAGCTTAAAGGTAAATTTAGAGCAGGCACTGGAGTTCTGATAGCTTTGAAAGAGCCACCCACAAAGTTATGGTGAAAAAACTGAGCAGTGCTCTAAATCAAGAAGATGAATGACCTTGAAACTGATTTCCTTTGGTTCTGCTTAAACAAAATCAATACAAACTACACTGTAGCTCATCTTTCCTTAGTGAGTATCTTGTTTGATAATCGTAATATCAAATTTGAAATTTAATGATTATCAAACAAATACTCGATCACTAGTCAGAGTTTTTGTGGCAAAAAAACTTAATATTGTACTTTTAAGGACAAATTGTTCAAAACAGAGATTTCATGTGGAAAAAAAATTAAATCTACGTGTATACCAGCATTCCAGTTTAGTTTTGCTACTTTTAATTCCTTGTAAAATAAACATTTTTGGCTTTTGAGAACACTTCCTCCACACGTTATTCCCTCCCCTCAGAAAGTCAGTCCAGCGACATTCCATGGGTCTGGGAATGGAAATTATCTGGGTTTGCACATTTCAATCTGCAAGTTGCTTAAATAAACTTACCTAATATGATGTGTTAATTTTAGAACATTGCTTACAGAAAAGAACTTCCATTTCAACCAATGTAAATTGAAGAAAATATAACTTGCATGGTTTATGTCCATGATTTGGTAACCATGGTTTACTATAATGTGAAATACTAATAGCTTGTATGTGTACATGTGAAATTATGTTCACTTCTTTTTCCTTTTAATAGCTTTTGATTTCAACTATTGATGCTGGGTATAGTTATTCCTGTCAAGAGTTTTCAATGAGTTCTGAACCCAAGGAAATGAGGGTAACTGTCTTTCAGAAGATCTGAAAACGAATTATAATTATATTTATTATATTCTCAACTTAAAAACAGTTATAGTGTTGCTGTTATAAAGATTTCAATAAGAACTTTCTGTCAAGTATTCAATTAATTTTGTAAGTTATTATTTGTAATAATAAAAATAATACAAATAATAATTGTGACAAAAACTAGAGCTAAGCTTTACAAAATGCTATAATATTTACATAATTTGATGTCTGTTAAACCTGTAAAACATGTTTCCGTATCTAATCATGATATCAT